CGCTCAGGTGCCCCGTTAGCGCAGTAGGTAGCGCGTCAGTCTCATAATCTGAAGGTCGTGAGTTCGACCCTCACACGGGGCACAATACTTTTGTTCTAGCACTTTGTTTTACTGTCGCGGGGTAAACCAGTTTAACAGAAGGACGTGTCCAGGCCCCTTCCGCTCCACTGGCTGCAAGGCTGGGACAGAGTCCTGGGCTCCCGCCTGCGCCCGCCCGAGCGGAGAGCGGCTCTCACTGCCGTTCAGCCCTCGCGGAGTGGGGCTCGGGGCACCCGCGGGTTTTCCGGGCGCGCCGTACCCTTCCCGGGCGGGTTCCGGGGAACGGACAGTAACTTCAGGTCGGCCCTAGAGCCTGTCCGCCTGCGAGGCCAGCTCCGCCCGAGTCCCGGTGCCGCCCTTCCCTGCGGCCGCGCCGTGTGCCCGAGGAGCCCCGCGGGCTGGCCGGACCCCGGAGGGGCCCGGACCTGGCTGGGACCTGGCTGGGACCTGGCCGGGACCTGGCCGGGACCTGGCCGGGACCTGGCTGGCCGCCGCCGCTCGGATCGCGAGCGGGCCCGGGTCTGGACCGCCGCGGGTCGGCCTCCCGGCCGCGGTGACTCGCCGGGTCTCGGCCGTGAGCTCCGCCTTCTGCTGTCCATTTATTCCATCATCCTTCAGTGGCCCAGACATCAGTGGCCGGGCTTCCTCCATCCTTCGCTGCAGGCGCTGTCTTCGGGAGCGAGAAGCTGCCCCGCGGCTCTGCTCCCCGGAGCCCCGCTCCCCACATCGGCGGTGTCCTCTCCAGACGTCACACGTGGCCGCGGGGAAGAGCTGCCACACGTGTGCCTTCCCTTGGTGCTTGGATGGAAGGAGTGCAGAGCATGTAGTTGGGAGATGAGAGGACGTTTGTGATAAATCCACACCTGCATCACTGTCTTCCTAAACGCTGGATCCTTTTATTATAGGCAGCTAAGTTAGGTAGAAATAGAGGGGGCGGCCAGGCAGGGCTGGGTCCTTGAGTGAGTCAGTGCAGAAGTGAGAATCCACTGGGACTGAGGCTGGGGTCACCTGAAGGGTATGGTCACAGCGGCTGGCTCTGTGAACAGAGGCTTGGGGTTATGGGTATCACCCTATGGATAAGGGGCCGTCCTTTCCACCTAAGTCTAAAACTAAGCCTGCTAAGACTTTTAAAGACAAGGCCAAGGCTATAGATTATTGACAAAGGTTAGTGATGTCACTTATGAACCCTTGCTACCATAAGACCAGTATTACCAAGTGACCATACTTGAGTCGTATTAGTTGACCATAATCTTGACCCATGTTGTACCCACATGATTTTGCTCTATAAAGCTTCCTTTGGGAGGTGGGCTTCTCAGCATCCCAGCCATCCCGGACTCCTCCTGTCTCAGTGACTTCTATTCCCTATCCCCCCATCCTACTCCCCATTCCTTTTTGCCTCTAGGTTTTCCTACTCTTAACCTTCCTTGTTTCTTAGAACTTATTCTGGGACTTTAGGGAACACGCGTATTCCACATCTAATCTCCCCTACATCACTTTCATCTACACCATGTGTGGAGATAAACACTAATTCCTCCATCTCGCTAGATAGAGGCTAACGCCGAGGTCACGCTTACCAGCCTGCAAGCAGCTGCAGCCCCGCAGTGCGGTGTGCAGCTTATTCGCAGATGGGCTCTGCAGTGGCAGCGGTGCGCCTTTCCTTCCTCCATCAGCGTGCAGACTGTGAAGCTGCCAACAGGGCGCGCAGGGCAAGGGATATTTTCGCAACTCCATGGCGCTGTTGCTGACTTGGATTACTCCCGTGTGCACACCCGAGAGGTTCCTGTGTTCCACCCCTGCTGAGTTGGAACCCAGCTTGCATGGGGCACCTCCCATCTGCCCAGGTGGGCCTCTGTGGCCCTGGGGCCAGCCAGTGGGCAGTCAGCTGTGGCAGCCCGCCTCCCACGGGCGTGTGGCCCAGGACAGTCACTGGTGTGGACCACCCCGCGGCCATTGACCCCCACCCTAGCCCTTCAGTCCCGAGATCCCCCTCACCCCCTCAGGGGCTGTCCTTCCTGGAAGCCTCTTTCTTCCCTGGCTCTGGCCTTAGGACTCATTAGAGGTTTTCTGTCTTTATAGTTCCTCCTTTGTCAGTCAGTCACACCTCTCCTGCTTAATCCGGGATGGACCCAGGCTGACATGACAAGATCAAACATGACCCTGGGAATTTCAGATGTACAGTAAGATGAGGCGCAGTCCAGAGCACCAGCTTCACACATGTGAGGGTGACAGAGGTCCTAGCACAGTCTCTGTCGCCGCTGCCACAACAGCCAACACGCAGGCCCTGTGGAAAGGTCTTCAGCAGATGCTTGGATCTCGCTCAGCATTGGAGAACATGTACTGGAGGAATGGCGAGTGCTGGTCCTAAAACAATACGAGAAGCCCGCTACCCAGGTTGGTATCCTATTTAATACCATTCGGTTCACACTGGAAAAACTGTTCACCAATAGTAAACAGAGGTGCCTGAACCCGGTGCTCAGCTCGTACTGTGCAGCTCACATCGGAGAGATGCGGGCAACGCCCTGAGCCGGCTCTTTGCTGCCTACTCCAGGGTACAAGCAGACTTGGGAATGGAGCCTGTGTGCAACAAATCTTAGGCCAGCACGAGAATTCATGTTAGGAATAAACTGGGGTAAGATGAGGATCCAATGCTGGAAGCAGGGAGAACCTGAAATGTATTTTGGTTTTTTTTTGGTGGAACTGGGGATTGAACTCAGGTTCTTCTGCTTGCCAGTGAAGCACTTATTCCACTGAGCCATATCCCCAGCCCCATGAAATGTATTTTCTATAGTTCATGAAATCTTATAACCTTCGAAATGCCAACCAAACACATATGACCCAAGAACTTCAGCCAAGTGTGTGAAATCTGCTAAGGCAGTGACTATCTAGATTACTAGAAGTGTAGGCTTGGCACACCAGAACTTCTTCACTTGGTTGGGCGCTGTGCATCGTCATGCCTGGCTAGAAATTTTTATTTTTATTTTTTTTTTGGTGGAACTGGGGATTGAACTCAGGCCCCTGAGCTTACCAGGGAAGCGCTTATTCCACTGAGCCATCTCCCCGGCCCCCTGGCTAGAAATTTTTAACAAGGAACTATTCTACAATGCACAAGGTGTGTGCAGCTGTAAAAGTGGAGTGGGCATTCATCCCACTGAAGGAGAACCTTAAAGGTAAAGGACTCACAATGTGCACTGGTTCCCTCAGGCAGGATCCAGGAAGTTAGCATCTGAGTGCTCTGGGTGGACGAGCAGTTTCCAGTTGCCACTGCACCGTGTGTCTGACATCCTGCACTCTGCTGTGAAATCCAGGGCAGCCTGCCCCATGAAAGCAGGTATTACGGCCTCAGACACTAGAGAGGGCGGCTGAGGCCACTGCTCTTGGGAGCCAACACCGCATACAGGAACAAGACACAGTATTAGTGCTTTGACTCGGCGAGAGTCCCTGGTTCACCACGGGATCCTGTTTCTGACCCCCCCCTCCAATCACTGTCACAGACAGTCCACTTGTTGCGTGTCAAGCTCTGGGCAGAGGGCTGTGTATGCCCAGAGGACTGGAAGGGGTCCGCACTGCCAGTCCATGAGCTACGTTGGTCCCCTTTGAGGACTGGGGAGTGAGGGTGGGGTTGTGTGTGGCTCTGCTGGGAAGCCAGGAGGGCAGCCGGGGAGAAGCGGGCGTGGAGTGTGGAGCGCGGAGCAGCACAGCCGGTGGCACCTGCGCGCGTGTACGGTGCAGCCGGGTCGCTAAGGAGGCAGAGGTCCTGCTGCAGGCAGGCCCGGGGCACGAGGGGTCCCGGAAGGAGGCTGCGCCCAGGGCAGGGCGCTGCAGAGGCGGCTGAGCTCCCTCAGGCCGGCTGCAGGGGCTGCAACGCCTCTCTGTTCTTCATTTTTCCATTTACTTTTAAAAACACTTGCAGCTACTCTGGGTACTAAGTTTATGCTGCTCTTTGCAACCTGAGAGCTGAACACAACCTAAGTTTCAAAAACTTTTATTGTGAAAAATTTAAGCCATTTACAAGATAAAAAGTAAAAATTAGAACACATAATTTTTATTTTTCTATACAAAAGGCCATCTTTATAGAGATTTAATATAAATAATACAAAAATCAGAGTCATTGATTGCAAACCGGTACAACCTGTCTCTGTCTCCCGCGGGGACACACCTGCTACGCAGCCACAAGGTGGGGGGCCTGACATCTGCTCCGAGCCTGGGCCGCGAGTCTCTGGCGAAGGGCTCTCACCTTCTTGATAAGATTTTGTTCCATGCTGTCCCATTCTGTTCTTCGATTCAAGGAAACTTGAAAATAAAACTTAAAATTAGCAGTGGTTGCGCTTTTTGGTGCTCCCAATGTTGTGGCATTTCTTTTGAAGGCAGATCAATAAGGAAATGAATACTCTACAAACGAATTTCTTAAACAAAAAGCCTAACAGGGTCTGCTGCTTACGGTTGTATGTGTCAGCCAAGTCTCTCCTGTACTGAGTGAATGCTACCAGAGAACTGTTTTGGGTTGTGCAGCATTGGGAAAATCTCTAACTTAGGAATGAAACTCATCTAAAAGGAAACGTGAGTTCTTTTTTTTTGGTGGAACTGGGGATTGAACTCAAGCCTTTGCACTTGCCAGGGAAGCGCTTATTCCACTGAGCCATCTCCCCGGCCCTGAAACATGAGTTCTTCAAAACACAGTTTCCTTGCTATGATAGTTCACAGCGATGAGAAAAAGCATTCCAACTTGAAATACTGTGAAATCTGTTCCACAACTACTTTCCTGTGAAGAAAAAGTAAAATGCTTTGAAAAGCTGCTAATACAGGAAGAGCCCAGAATCACGATTAAAATAGTCCAAGCTGTCCAAGTGCAATAGCAATTCCAGATTGTCTGAGGGGCGAGTAAACACTGGAATTAAAAAAACAAAACTTAAAATCTACTTCCTGAAATTTAGTTATATTTACTCTGCTTCAATTTCTGAAAAACTATTTTCTTTCCTAAAGGAATGCAGCTTTTATGCTTTCTTATTTTGCTACCAAATAACATAAATTTAGCCAGTTCTTCCACTCCACTTTCAAATTCAGAATTATCCAGTTCAGTTTAAATTACGCACGCCTGTAGCTTTAGTTACTTGGGAGGCTTGAAGTCGGAAGATTGCTGGAGCCCGAGTTTGAGGGCAGCCTGGGAAACAGAATGAAAGAAACAGAAGTACGTGTTCTGATGTGACACACGGAGAATAATGGAGAATCTCCTGCATTTCATTTAGCTCACAAATGAATTTTGGTTTAACTCATATTCTGGTACAGAATATGCCACACATATTAAAAATATGAGCTAGGGGCTGGTGAGATGGCTCAGTGGTCTAAAGCACCAACTTAGAACAAGCTAAGCTAAGCAAAGCACAGGGACCGCGGTTCGATCCCCCAGCACCACATGCCAGCCAGCACCGCCCCCTTGTGGGCTGAGCTGGCCACACACACTCAATAAATAAATAAACAAATAAAAGTTAAAAAAAAAAATATGAGCTAGTAAAAACATTTTACATAATACTAGAATCACATGATTTGTCATTAGAAGTAATTCTAGTAAAGACAGCTTGTGTGTAGAAGTTCTTTTAAAACAGCTCAGACCTCATTGAACTGCATTTATTTTTATTTATTTATTTAAAACTGCATTTAGATGGCAGCTTTATTGAAAAAGTGCTTAACATCCTAGTTTTTTTTTTTTTTTTTTTCCTGTATTTAGTACAGGGTCTACAGGGTCTCACTACACAGATCAGACTCAGCAATCCTCCTGTTTTCAGCCTCCCAAGGGTTGGGATTACCGGTGCGCACCACCGTGTCAAGTCCTAGTCACCAGGAATCGAACCCCAGTCCCTGCGCCTGCGTAAGCAGGTGCTTTAGTGTGCTGAGCTATGTGGCCAGCTCTAACATTCGAGTTTCTTGTCCTCTCCTGCTACTATATATATTTTGGTGGCAGGAATTGAACTTAAAACCTTGAGCCTTGAGCTTGCCAGGGAGGCGCTGTGCCACTGAGTTATAGTCCTGGCCATTCCTTATGACAACTGTAATTACAGAACTCCACCAGACACTGTTAACTGATGCTCTGACTACTCTTCTGTAAGCTGCTCCTCCTCGATCCCTTCCGAAGCTACCCCCACCCCCTGGCCTGAGGCTCAGAAGCCACCAGCCCGCGCAAAGCCACGGCCCTGCAGTCTGCCTCTGCGGCTGGGGCGGGCACCTCTCCCTGCCAGCAGCTGCCAGGAGCCCAGGCTGGAGGAGTCAGGGAGATTCACCGGTGTGACAGCTTGCCAGGAAGCCGGAGGTTCTCCTTTTGCAAGGATGCAGAACGCCCGGGCAGCTCAGGCTCCCGGGTGCGTCCACAGCCATTCACCAACCTGCCCCCACTCAGCAGGCTTCCCACTGTATCGCTTCTGTCACAATTTTGCTTAAACACTGTGCAATGTTAAAACAAATCTTTCCTGCTTATCAACTTACTCGGTGCTGAGGACTCCACTTCAGAAATGTCACTGAAGTGTGAAGTTCTGGGGAGACAGCTTGAGGCAACCTGTTCCTCTGGCAGCCGGTAGGCTTCTGCTACCAAAGTGAGAAGAAGGGCTGTGTGAGAGGGGCGGGATTCTTTGTTCATGCCAAATGGCCTGGCCAGTACAGCTGCCAAGTATGGTTAGAACCCGTTTCTTTTATTTTCTGAGAAGAATGCTGCTGTCATTCAGAAGGCACAGAAAGTGTAGGAGGAATTAAAAGCCCCATTGAAGTTTTAGTAATTTTTTTTTTTTTTTAAGACAAAACAGTTAAAACAAAAAAACCAACAAATAGCTGAGGAGATTCTGCTGCGTGGAGATGGCGCATTCTGTGTACCTGTCCTCACTTAAGGACGCTGGGCAGTTGCTACTTTGCAGCCAGCACAGAAAAGGCTGTCCTGAACACTCACATGGAAGTTCTACCCAAACATGTTTTAAGCGCTCATGGCTACTGAACACCAAGGAGTGGGGCTGCTGGGTTATTTGGTCATCCTTTATCTTTTTTTTGGTACTGGAAGTCGAACTCAGGACCTTGCGCTTGTCAGGAGGGGCTCTCAGAGAGGCTGTGCCATCTTGCCACCACCTTCCTCTTTTTTGGGGAGGGGGCTGCTCAGGATGCCTGCAGGGCAGGTGTGCTTTGGCTTGAGCATCCTGAGCCTGCCTGCCTTGTTTCAGCAGGCACTCCAACACCTGAGCTAACGGGCAGGCCCCCACCACCTTCATCCTGGGAGCACTAACTACCACGCTGTTTTCCCTACGTGGCTGCACGTCCCCAGGATGTTCCAGTTTCTTCCTGCTCCTGCACAGCATTCCCACTGCCTGCCTTTTTGCTGACAGCCAGCCTCGTGCTGTGCAGTGTTCTTGTTGTGGCCTCCCCCCCACCCGCTGTGCGCTGCCCTGTCTCTAGGATGAACGAAGCTGAGCATCTGCTCACGTGCGCACCTGCCATCTGTATACTTTCTCCGGAGAGAAGGCTTTTCAAATGCTTTGCCTATCTTAAAATTCAGCATGATTTCAGTTGCTACAGTACCAATTTGTATCTTAAGTGTCTGGACCTGTGCTCGTAGGGGTGGCAAAGCAAGACCCGGCAGGTGCTGTCTCCGGGGCGATTAGAGCCTCCCTCCCTTGCTGGTAAAGGCTTGATACCACGCAAGCCTTTCAAATAACTGACCTGCCACCGCACCTCTCCTCTCCTGCGTCCCCAGGCCTCCCTTTAGGCCCTGAGACACGCCCAGAGGACCTCACAGTCGATTCGAAAGGATGCTACAAAGCTATTGTAAGAAAAACAGCGCAGCACTGACAAAAAAAAAAGCCCCGAGGATGACAGAACCAAGCAGACGATGCAGGAACAACTCAAACACACTCAGCCACCTCATCTTTGACAAACAGGCAAAACACTGATGAACAGATAAGACAGTAGGTATCAGCCCGCACAATGGACTACGATTTGTGAATAAAAAGGAATAAAGTGTTAACTCATGACAGAACAAGGCTGAAACTCAAAACAGCACAAGTAAAAGCCAGACACAAAAGACCTATTACATGATTCCATTCATAGACTTCCTGGAGTTCAATCTAGAGGCAGACAGTTGACCTGCTTGCGGGGGTGGGGCAGCTGGTGAGGAGATGGCCCACGGCTGTTAGCGGGCACAGAACTTGCTCTGGCTGTCAAACATGTTTCAAAGTCCACCTAGGGGTAATCACTGCACAGCTCTGAATGCATGTATTTATTCTTGTTTGTTTTGAGGCACTGAAGGTCTCGCTGTCAGTACTGGCTCGCCTTGACTCACTACCTCGCCCAGGCTGGACTCAAGCGCATGGCGATCTTCCTGCCTCAGCATCTGGAGTCCCGGGATTACAGGCGTGCGTGCACTACCAAGTCCTGTCTGGGCATATTTCTTAATATACAGTGATTAATAAAATGTAAATAGATAAGTTGTATGGGAAATGAGTTATATATGAGTGATCATTTTACAAATAATGCATGCATATTATAAAGGGCTGAAGAAATACGAAACAGTAAATATGCACATACCTGTGCTCTATATTTTAGGATTTCAAATTAGTTTTGATCTTTCAGTTGATATTATTATAAACCTTGAATCAAAACCTAATGTTTGAGGGCTGGCCAGATAGCTCAGCAGATTAAAGTGCCTGCTTAGGCAGACAGGGACTGGGGTTCAATCCCCAGCATGTCATGCTAGCCCTGGCCCTGGAGGGTGTTAAGATGGTGATTGAGACTGGGTGTGGTGGTGCATACCTATAATCCCAGCACTTGGGAGGGTGAAAACAGGAGGATCACTATGTGTCTGATCTGTGTAGTGAGACCCTGTACTAAATACATAAAAAAACCCAAAAAACAAAAAAACCTAAAAAACAACAACAAAACCAACCTAATGGTTGACTAGATCTTTTAAAAAAAACATTTATTTATTTATTTATTTATTTAGTGTGTGTGTGTGTGTGTGTGTGTGTGTGTGTGGCCAGCTCAGCCCACCAGGGGGCGGGGCTGGCTGGCATGTGGTGCTGGGGGATTGAACCGCGGTCCCTGTGCTTTGCCAAGCTTGTTCTAAGTGTAAAGCCCAACAACTTTGAGATCATAAATGAGGCTAAAAATAAAGTGTCTTTCAGTAAGGGGGCCCGCCCGCTGGTTTGTGCCTATAGGGCTTAGACAAACCATGTCCCTAAGACAAAGAGGACGTAAGAAAACCTTGGATGGGGTCCGGTTACTTGGAAATCAACTAAAACCACTGAGTTAGCCAAGAAGTTGCCCTTGGCCCTCCCCTTGTTTAAATTCTTGCAAGAGACATATATTCCCAAACCCATGGCCTCACTATTGAAAGCCATAACAACAGGATGTCCCAGGTCACAGTGCCCCGATTTCTTAAAAATGTTCCCAGAACATTACAACCACAAGGTTAGCCCCGCCCCCCAGCTACCCCCAGACTTACTCCATCTGGTCATCCGGTATTGTAATTCACCAATTATTTTAAAGGTCAACCTACACTAACCAATGCGATCTGCTTCTGTAACTTGCTTGCTCTCACCCTATTTTGTGGTTTTCGCCTTTAAAAAACTATGCCTGTTTCACTAAAGGCGCGCTCTGCTCCTGCGTGTGCGGACCGCCCTGCGTATACGTAGATAATACAACTTTCCCTTTGTGATTTGCATGAGAGACCCACTCTTGGGGTCTTCCTTCGCGGCGACTCGACCCTTACACTAAGTAGGTGCTTTAGACCACTGAGCCATCTCGCCAGCCCTTGACTAGATCTTTTGAGAAGATTCCTTGTGGTACTTTAATTATCACTTGGGAAACCAGCTACTGGCAGAGTATATATTTTTCCTACGGTAAACCAGAAATAGTAGCTTGGGAATGAATCACATTCTAGAAGATTAGGGGATGATGCCAAGGATCTTGGACCTGTGGAGGACCACAATTCTACCAGGTGAGTGGGCATTTTCTTGATTGGAGCTCTGTTTTCTTAATGCATCATCTTAGCTTGCCCTTCCCACCAAAAAATAGTAACCAGCAATTCCCTTTTAACTGAGCAAAATGTGAATGCAAGTACCACCCCCCCCCCCCCACAATTTGTTCACACTGGAGCGCACTACCAGAAGGGACAAGCAGCACAGACACGGGTGCGCACGGACACTCACCTTGAATAAATGGATGCACAGCACGCTCCAAAGCAGCGCTCGTCTCGCGCTTTAGAAACGCTCTTCTAGATGCATCTGAAGAGGCTGAAGTTTTCTTCTCTGATCTTAAATGAAACTCTTTCTCGTCAGCTTGCTTCCACTACATACAAAGACATGAGAAGAAAGATCATGCCAGGACGGTGGTAACCTCATCTGTGGCAGCAGAACAAGTCCTCTGCTTCCGCCGTGGCCGTCTGGTACCGGGGACTGGACTGCCTGTGGTGGCCCACAGCTATGAAGAACCAGCGCAGGTGAGTCTGATGCCTTGTGTAGTACCTCGGAGGGCCGCAAAGGGCACAGCTGGGTCCCGGTGACTATACATTTCCTTAAGTTTCAACGCTTACAAGACTACACTAGTGGGGCTGGTGAGAGGGCTCAGTGGTCTAAAGTGCCTACTTAGAACAAGCTTAGCAAAGCACGGGGACCGCGGTTCAATCCCCAGCACCACATGCCAGCCAGACCCGCCCCCTGGTGGGCTGAGCTGGCCACACACACACACAAATAAGAAAAAAAAAAAAAAGGCTACACTAGTTTTGTGTTATGGCAATGAATTTTCATTTAATTTGAATGCTATATTTTAGTGAAAAGGTTAAGAAAATTCAGACCATTAATTCTTTGCCCAGCTTGAGCACAGGGAAGTCAAGCAATCTCTGCTAGTCCCTGCTTTCTTCCTAGTAAGTTGTCTTTTTTTTTTTTTTTTACAGAGCCAGGGATTGAATTCAGGTCCTCGTGCTTGCTACTGAGCTATCTCCATGGCCCCTTTCTTAGCAAGTTGGGAAGGTAATCATCCTGAAATTACCTCAGAGGGTAACTCAAGTAACAGATTTAAAATATTCCACTCTAGAAGTTTGCCGAGCTGTAGAAGCTCCATCTTCGACATGACACATACATGTAATTCTTATAAACAGAGTATCAATGCATTAAGTAACACACACTCTGACATCTTCAGTTGTAGGAAGGGCCACAGGTTAGCTCTAGGACTCAGAGCCTGAGAGTCAAACGAACATTCCTGAGGGAACAGCCTCTACGCTTTCTTCTCTCCCCAACTCCTTCCTTCCTGTTCCTCAAAGTTCAGAATACAGGGTCCCCCAGCACTAGGGCAGGCAGGTGGAAAATGGACATGAGCCAGTGACCTCGCAGT